GCTCAGGTGTCTTCTTTTTCATGGGACAAGCCCAGCTTTTCCCACTTTCGTTCCGCTCCGCACCCACATGCCAGCTCCTCGCTGTTGCTGGGGGAGAGAGTTCAGCCACATGTCCAGACACAGATCATGCCCCAGACTCACCCTTTCATGCACGGAGTAGAGGCTGCGCTTGAGACATTTTATTCTCAGAAACACCGCGATGCTCACCTGAGTCTCTGCCCCCGGCCAAGGGAGGTCCTGAGCCCATTTAGGGACAGGAGAAAATAATGACAGAGGCTCCAGGCCACCCCCTCATGTCCCCCTTGCCCGACTCAGCGGCGACTCACACAGCAATGCCAGAAGCAGCCTTGCAGGAGCAGAGGCCCAGGCCCCACATCCGAGAGCAGAAGACGGACCACGGGCCGGTGGCTCCCAGCATCATGAATGTGCTCCCTCCCGTTCTGAAGGCCAAGGGCTGTGCTCCTTCCAGAGGCTTCAGGGAGGATCCTTCCTGCCTCTCCCAGCTCCTGGGGCGCCAGGCACCCCTGGGCTCGTGCTTCCGCCTCCACGCGGCATGTCCTCTGCCTTCTCTTTGCTGAACTTAGGAGCCACTCTAAACCCAGGATGGTCTTCTTGCCAGTGGGTGGCTGGGTCAGGGTCTTGAATCTGCAGCACAAAAGAATTTGAGAGCAAGTTTAACACATGAGTAGGCAAAGTAGTTTGTCAGAAAGCGAAAGCGATGCTCAGAGGGAGAGGCAGCCCCTGGTGCCTTGAGGGGATTCCTTTGTCATAACCCACGGTGAGGTCAGGTATGGAAAGGCCAACCTACGGGAGGCACGCATGCTCAGTATCCACATGCTCCAGCACTTGCGACATCACCATTACATGCAAAACCCTCCCCTGGGGGTGTGTCTCCATTAAAGTAAGGGAAAGGTCCCTATAAGCTGAACTTTGAGCCTAGCTATGTGCATGGGCTCCCGGAGGAACCCCTGGCCCCTCGAAGGCAGAAGTGTGTGTCTAAGAGCCTCGTGGGCTTTGGGTAACTGACTGGAGGTTAGGGAAACTACATCAGGAGTAAGGGGTGTTCATTCTCTTTCATAGGCCTGCACTGAGCATCAGGAATAAGTGTAGGGCTGAGGGCCCCACAGGGTTGCAGGGTGTCTCTTATGCTGTGCTAAGGGGCAGGATCCGAGAAATAAAGAGACAGGACACAGAAGTACAAGGAAAACGCAGCTGGGCTCAGGGGGCCACACCACCTATGAGCAGAGTCAGGCGACACCCCGAATGTCCAGAAGCGTGAGTATTGATTGTGTATAGGTTAGGGGCAAGGCAGTGAGTGAAGTCATCTTTAAGGATAGTGATAGGGTCGTGAGCAATAAAACATGGGGTCCAGCCCCATTAGGTCACCGAGGCCAGGAGGTGGACAGTGCACAGCAAGGGGCCCGTTCCCACAAAGGCAAGGGCCGCGTGCAGTAAGGGGTCCACCCCCATCAGGTCACCGAGGCTTGAAGGTGGGCCATGCTCAGTGAAGAGGGTGCAGTGTGCAATGCTTCTGCCTATGGGAAAACTATTCTAAGATTTATAGGAGGATGCTTTAAGTCGCATAGTAGTGACAGGGCTGTCAGGGTTACCGCCACCTTCTGGCAGCTTCCAGTGGGTTCTATAGGAAGATGCTTTTCGAGCAGCACAGTAGCAAGAGCTGATAAAGTTCACAGTCCCCAAGGTGGATTGCCGGTCTGCGGGCAGCCTTCCACGAGAACTGGAGCAAGGTCCTACAGCTCCTTTATCAGGAGGAGTGGCTCTCGCCCCAAGCCTGCCACACAGCGGGTATCTTTACGATACTGAACGCGGCCTCCTGGGCCGTGGATTCTTGTCCTGGTATAACTGTCTTCCCTTAAACCATGCTCTGCACTGTGTCTGCTCCAGGCATTCCTCTGATTATAAGCTGCTTATTCCTTAATTCATGCTCTGTACTGTGTCCACTCTAGGCATTCCTCTATGAACAAACATATAATTATAGGCATATATGTAGGGAAATATCCTTTAGGCACTCATACTATTAACTATTATATGATTATATAGAGAGGATTATACAAGGGGAGTCTTCAAGCCCTAATTCTATAAACTAATATATGATTTTGTAAAGGATTATATAAAAGAAAATAGCTGAGTAGTAACACTATAAATTGAGATATTCTTTAAGCCCTAACTGTGCCAGGGCTCTGCTTAGCTTTCGTTCCTCTATGCCTATATGGGGGTTACCCACAATAAGGGGTGTTCATTCTCTTTCCTGAGCCCTCACCGGGAATCAGGACCTTGTCAGCATCTGGCGGTCGGCTGGTGTCCTGTGGCGCTGCTTACCTTGAGGACCCTGCTGCAAAAGGGCCCAGGGGCTTCACACAGGGAACAAGAAAGTCAGTGTCCTCCTTGCCCTGCCCATCCTGCCTCAGTCTCACCTCAGGATCCCTGACTTAATTACAACCGCAAAGATCCTACTTGCAATGAGGTCACATAAGGACAGGCTCCTCTGAGATTAAACCCGGGCCAGAAGATGTGTTTCAGGGATCAGAGGCAGTGGCCATGTCCTGCTGACACCATGTCTCGGGTCGTGGGAGGGGGATACTGCTCAGCCCAGCACAGAAGAAAAGGCTTCCACAGGGAAGACCGGCCCCGCCGTGGGTTGCTGCCTGTGGCCTCGCCCTTGTCCCCAGCAGGAGGCAGAGGGAAAGAAATCCAGGCCAGTGACTTGACTTCCTGGCTCAGACCCCTGTAAGGTTTGGGTCTGCGGGGAGACAGCCTCAGCCACGTGGACAGGCCTTCCTGAGATTCAACTCGAGCTAGAAGGCGTGGAGCCAAGAGAGGCAGACGGAGGCCCATGTCCTGCTGATGAGCTCTGACCCCCGGCCAAGCTAGGCCTGAAACCAAACAACCAAACACACCTGGGCCTTTCCTGTGGATGAATCTCCAAGCCCCTTTTTGCTTAGGCCAGCCTGGCTCAGCTTTTCCATGTTCCTGCTGAGTGGAGAGCAGGGGGTGTATCTGGAAGGTTCTGCTGCCCTGATAGTTCTTGGTGCCTCACACACTCCCCCGCGTGGCCTGTGCCTGGGGGGCTCACGTCCATCTCTCACACCTGCGCTGATGAGCTTGCAGGAGGCAGGCCTTGTGTTCCATGCAGGCGGCTTGTTTATAGAGCACGTGGCTGCTGAGACCAGTAAATAAAGGGTCGTCAATATCCTGGGGTCAAGAGTGGGTACCGGACACAGATTTTGGACACGGATTCAAATCAAATGAGAGGCCCTTAAGAATGAGCGCCCACAGGAGACACGCGGATTCTCTGCCCCCGCCCCACCCTCGCTGTGAAGTCTGAGAAGGCTGTAATCCCCCAAGAATGATCACGCCATAAATTATTTGTCCTTGCTGCTGGAAAGTTCTTCAGCACAGGTGCACGTGGCCCCATAGCCAAGCCCAACAGGCCTGGCCTCCTGACCTAGTAATGAAGGGAGAAAGAAGGGGTGCGGTCCACCAGTGTCCCCCGAGGCCAGCGGCTTCCTCCACGCTCTGACCGGGGCTCGGCCGTGTGTCTAGGCTGCATGGGGCAGGCATGAGTACTTCATGGGCCCAGCCGGTGCGCGTGGGGCCTCTTGAGTCTTCATTCATCCACTCATTACACGGATGTTTATAAAGTACCTACTGTGTGCTGAGCACAGCCTGGATTCTTGGTATAGAGCAGTCAACAGGACAGGAAAGGAGCTTGCTCTCGGGGTCTCACGTTCTGGTTGCAGGAGACAGATCCTGCAGGAACAAACTGGCACCGGGCGTCCGCTTGAGGTCGGTGAGCAGGGCCCCCGTGGGACAGGGCTCCCCACAGCCTTTCTGAGCAGCCTGCCCCTTCCTCCTGGGCCCTGGGAGTGCTTCTGCTCCCAATCCAAAACATCTCCTTTCCAACCTGTGGCTGCTCCCGCCGTCCATCTTAGAGATGTATTTCCTCTCTCAAGATTTTTTGTTTTACACATTTTGCAAGTTCCTGAAAATTGTGCAATCCAAGCTTTTTCTTCCACAGACAAATGGAGTGAAGTCTCCTTGTCAGAAAGCATTTTTATGAGTGATGAAATCTCCCTAGCGGAGCGCCACAGCCCATAAAAATGCGACAGCTTTTCCATCCCAGAACCACGGCCCAATTTATCCGTAACCTTGTTCACCAGACCCTGGCTCTGGTGAACGCTGCTGTGACTTATTCGAAGCCTCGGTTGGCCACATTTTGGTACTATGCCAAGGTGGAACTGATTCCTCCCACCCCTGCTGAGATCCCTAGAGCTATTCAGAGCCTGAAAGAAGTCAATAGTGCTCAGCCTCGTAGCTTCAAACAACTCACAGTTAAGGAAGTTGTGCTGAATGGCTTGGTGGCCACTGAGGTGGTGATGTGGGTTTATGTCGGAGACCACAGGCAAGCGTGGCATCATTGGCTATGATGTTTGAAGACCAATCGTTAACATCTGGTTATATTTGATTTATTATTTGAGTGTTGTTGGAGCACGTGTGGTGAGAGACTGCTATCTGAATAAATTAAGATGTGTTTAAAAAAAAAAAAATGCGACGGCAACGTCGGCAGCCCTTGTCCCTCTGAAATTCTCACCAGAGGCTCAGAACCCAGCTGTGAGCCAGGGCGGGAAGTGGCTGCCGGTGTGTGGGGGGCGGCTCCGCAGCTGTGCCCAGCAGTGCTGCCCCCAACAAGTTCCTGAAGCCGGACTGGGGTTGCAATCCCAGCACCCGCCCTCATGGTCCACAGTGGAGGCTGCTGACTGCAGAACGGGGACAACTGGCTCCTCTCCGGGTTGCTGTGAGGACTCCGTGGGCACAGGGCCCACGTGGTGCTGAGTGCCGTGTTACCGTTACTACTTTCTTTCTAGAACAGCTCTGACCCCCCTTGGCATCCGGTTGTGGGTCACAGCCTCATCCTGTTGACCTTCGCAGGGTGCACGTGGCTCCCAGGGCCCCCACGTCTCAAAGCGTGTCTCCTGCAGGTGCCGACAGATGACCTACGCCCGGGACCTGCCCCAGGTCTCTGTGGTCTTCATCTTCGTCAACGAGGCGCTGTCGGTCATCCTGCGCTCCGTGCACAGCGTGGTCAACCACACGCCCTCCCGGCTGCTCAAGGAGGTCATCCTGGTGGATGACAACAGCGACAACGGTGAGTGCGCGGGGCCTCGGCAGGGGCTCAGGTCGGCCGCCTGCGCCCGGTCAAGCTGGGGTTGGGTGGCGCCTCCCGGGGCGGTGCGACAGAGGGCCGCACTCGCCGGTCCGCACGGCCTCCAGACCTCGGGGGTCCCGCCGGCCTTCCAGCCTCTGCGTGCCTGCGTGCCGCCCCCCTACCCCGTGCGTGGCTGCGTGCCGCCCCCCTACCCCGTGCGTGGCTGCGTGGCGTCCCCCGTGCGTGGCTGCGTCGCGTGCCCCGTGCGTGCCCGCGTGCCGTCCCCGTGCGTGCCTGCGTGCCGTCCCTCTGCGTGCCTGCGAGCCGTCCCCATGCGTGACGTCCCCCGTGCGTGACGTCCCCCGTGCGTGCCGTCCCCGTGCGTGACGTCCCCCGTGCGTGCCTGCGTGCCGTCCCCGTGCGTGCCGTCCCCGTGCGAGCCTGCGAGCCGTCCCCGTGCGTGATGTCCCCCGTGCGTGCCTGCGTGCCGTCCCGGTGCGTGCCGTCCCGTGTGTGCCTGCGAGCCATCCCCGTGCGTGACATCCCCCGTGCGTGACGTCCCCCGTGCGTGACGTCCCCTGTGCGTGCCTGCGTGCCGTTCCCGTGCGTGACGTCCCCTGTGCGTGCCTGCGTGCCGTCCCCGTGCGTGACGTCCCCCGTGCTTGCCTGCGAGTCCCCGTGCGTGCTGTCCCCGTGCGTGCCTGCGATCTGTCCCCGTGCGTGACGTCCCCGTGCGTGCCTGCGAGCCGTCCCCGTGCGTGACGTCCCCGTGCGTGCCTGCGAGCCGTCCCCGTGCGTGACGTCTCCCATGCGTGCCTGCGTGCCGTCCCCGTGCGTGACGTCCCCGTGCGTGCCTGCGTGCCGTCCCTGAGCGTGCCGTCCCCAAGCGTGACGTCCCCTGTGCGTGCCGTCCCCGTGCGTGACGTCCCCTGTGCGTGCCTGCGTGCCGTCCCCGTGCGTGACGTCCCCGTGTGACATCCCATGTGCGTGCCGTCCCCTGTGCGTGCCGTCCCCGTGTGTGACGTCCCCTGTGCGTGCCTGCGTGCCGTCCCCGTGTGTGCTGTCCCCTGTGCGTGCTTGAGTGTCATCCCCCTGCGTGACGTCCCCGTGCGTGACGTCCCCTGTGCGTGCCTGCGTGCCATTCCCATGCGTGACGTCCCCTGTGCGTGCCTGCGAGTCGTCCCCGTGCGTGACGTCCCCTGTGCGTGCCTGCGTGCCGTCCCCGTGCGTGACGTCCCCTGTGCGTGCCTGCGTGCCGTCCCCGTGCGTGACGTCCCCTGTGCGTGCCTGCGTGCCGTCCCCGTGCGTGGCTGCCCGTGCCCCTCTCTGCCGGTGTCACGTGGCCTCTCCCACGTGTCCGCGTCGTCTCGTTTTCTCCTGAGGACCCAGGCTGGATGCAGGGCTCACCCCGAATCCGGGGGGACCTCACCTCTAGGCCCTTAGCCAGACGCAACTACGGGGTTCCGGCTTCCACGCAAGCCCCGCTCAGGGCCCGGGTGGAGGTGAAGTTGTGCCCGCGGGGCTGCGCTCTCCCCGCCGCGGGCCACGCCTCCCACCGGCCGGAGCTCGAGGCTGGCGCCCAAGCCCACAGGTTCCTCAGCCCCGGGTCTCCCGAGGGCAGCGCTGCTCGCACCTCCCAGCACACAGGCTTGAACCCCAAACGAGGGTCCCGCACTGGCCCCCACCCGCCCTTCCCGGGTGCAGAGCGGAGACCCCACGGCCGTGACGCTCGCTCTGGAAATGGCGGGAAACACGAGCAGCCCCTTCCCGACCCCCGTGGCCAGGCTGTGGCCCGCGGCAGGGTCTGGCCCGGCAGCACCGTCCACACGGGGTCTGTGCACCGGGGATTGGGTGGCGTGGCCCTCCTCCTGAGCCCGGTCTCACTGGACAGGGTGGCGTGCGGGGAGGACCGCATGGTCCAGCTCGGCCACATGTGTCCCGCCCTTGGTCACAGGGAGCTCCTGCCCCCAGCATGCGGAGGCCACGTTTGTGCGTCCACCCGTCTGTCCATGGACTTGGCTGAGCGGGTTCCGCTGCGTGGAGAGGCCACGTTTGTTCACGCACCCATCTGTCCGTGGACTTGGGTTTTTGTGGCCGACTGCTCGGCCCTGTGTCCTGTCCGCGCAGCGCTGGACGCCGTCTGGCCCGGCGTGTTTCCCTGTCTGCTGTGCCTCCCACTGATGTCGGCGTCAGGAGGCGGGGTCTGGTCTCTCCGTGGACTCCCACCCTGAAGTGTGTGCAACCCAGTGGGTCCTAAACGAATGTTCGGGAGACACTGATCCCACACGGGCCACGCGGCGTTTCTGGCTTAGCTCTCGGTGGCGCCACCGACCAGCGCGCTGAAGTCTCTCTCTCCTCAGTGGAGCTCAAGTTCAATCTGGACCAGTACGTCAACAAGCGGTACCCGGGCCTCGTGAAGATCGTCCGGAACAGCCGGAGGGAAGGGCTGATCCGCGCCCGGCTGCAGGGCTGGAAGGCGGCCACCGCCCCGGTCGTCGGCTTCTTCGACGCCCACGTGGAGTTCAACACAGGCTGGTAGGGCCGGGGACGGGCTGGACGGGGGTCTCGGCGGGTCCCGCTCCACCATCCCCGTGCGCTGCGTGCTGCTGCAGCCTTGCCAATGGCTTGGCCCCAGGGCCGGGGACCCCCTGTAGCCTTCAGGAGCCGGGGCGAGAGGCACCACCACGTCCCCCTGTGCGGCCTCCCCTCCCCTCCAGGCGCACTCGGCTTTCCTGGGGCATCTCAGCCCTGAGCCGGGCGCTGTTCAGACGAGACGCTGCCGTCTCTGTCCTACGCCTCCCCTCGATGTTCGTCACCTGACGCGTTGTGCATGAGTTCTGTCCTACTGTCTGCCCCCCGCAGGGTCACCCCGCACAGTCGCACAGGTCGTGCACTGCACAGCTGCCCTGGCAGCCTTTCAGTCCCTCCCGCGGAAGCCGTGAGCTCCTCGAGGCCTGGGGGCGTTCGGGGAAGGCTTGCATCCGTCACATCAAAATGCAATTTTAAACCAGTGCGACTTTTAATTTTCACAACTGAAAACCCAGCTGTCCATCTGCAAATGGCACCCCCTTCCCAGAACTGCCTCCACAAAGGGTTCTGCCTCGGCAGACGTGGCATTTGCAGGGAACCTTTTCACCTCCGAGGCACTTTGCGAACAATAATTAATTAATCCTCCTCACAGAGCTGAAAGGCAGGTAAATACCAGGCTGGTACCCCGAAGGACAGGAAGGAGGGGTGAGGACCGTCAGGTGGTCTCACGGGCAGGGGCAGGGCCTTGCCCCTCCCCAAGCCGGCCCTGCCTCAGCCTGACGCACCCACCCCCGGGCCCACCTGCTGTCGCTGCAGCCTCGGCTCTACAGCAGCGGGTGGCCGAGCGGCTCCAGCCCCGTGGGACTTGGGCCTCTGCGGGCGTCTCACCTTGCAGCAGACCACGTGTCTCCAAGGGCGAGGCTGCACCTACTTCCCCGGACCCCTGCCCCACCTTGCAGCAGACCACGTGTCTCCAAGGGCGAGGCTGCACCTACTTCCCGGGACCCCTGCCCCACCTTGTAGCAGACCACGTGTCTCCAAGGGCGAGGCTGTACCTGCTTCCCGGGACCCTGCCTGGGACGGGGAATCGCAGACAGCTGATGCCCATAAAGCCGCTTCTGCTCCCCTCCCTCTCGCCCTCGTGGCTCCGTCCGGCCTCCTGGCTGGCCCGCGGCCCAGCAGGCACACCCCGGGGCTCGGCGCAGCTGCGGCTCCCTCCGCGACGCCCTCTGCGCCTCCTCCCGGTCACTACTCAAGGCAGCCCTACTTAAAACCTCGAGCCCCTCCTACCATATCCCTGACGTGCTTAAACCCCGTCGTCCCTCCCACACACGCAGGTGCGGCACTGCAGGTCCTGGCCGTGCTTGCACCCCACGTGGCGCGAGCTCCCTGCCCACCGATTGTTTTAACATTTTAGTGGAGTTAAAGTTCACGGGGGCGCCTCCTTCCAAGTGGGTAGATTGAAAAGTAGAGGCAAGTAAAGGAGCGGAAGGCGGGACAGGTTGGTGAGAAAGCATAGTCACACCCTGCCCCGTGGGAGAGGGCTTGGGGTGTTTTACACTCTGAGGACGCAGCAGGAGGGAAGCAGCCCATTCAGAGGGCGATGAAGTTAGTGATCAGATCAGAAAAGGAAGAGCTCAGCAAGCTTGTCTGAGGAGACCCAAACACCCCCCTGCCTTAGCAGAGTTTTAATACAGGAAATATAGGAGTCATACTCAGAGTTTGTTTGTTTGTTCCATTTTAAACCTGAGATTACTGTGAGTGTTACAAAAAGTCAGTCCCACTTTTCACCAAACGCCCAGGAATCCAGCGCTGACTTCTCCGCAGTAGTAGCTCTGGCAGCTACGCTAAGCACAGCAATAAGGAACCCACAAATGGGGCGCCAGATGTAGGGCTGAGAGCCGCACAGGGTCCTGGGGTGAGCGTTAAGCAGTGCTGAGGCGCAGGATCTGAGAAAGAAAGAGGACACAGAAGTACAAGGAAAACGCAGCTGGGCTTGGGGGGCCACGCCACCTATGAGCAGAGTCAGGTGAGGCCCCGAATGTCCAGAAGCGTGAGTATTGATTGTGTATAGGTTAGGGGCAGGGCAGTGAGTGAAGTCATCTTTAAGGATAGTGATAGGGTCGTGAGCAATAAAACATGGGGTCCACCCCCATGAGGTCACCGAGGCCAGGAGGTGGACAGTGCACAGCAAGGGTCCCGTTCCCACGAAGGCAAGAGCCGTGTGCAGTAAGGGGTCCACCCCCATCAGGTCACCGAGGCTTGAAGGTGGGCCGTGCTCAGTGAAGAGGGTGCAGTGTGCAATACCTCTATCTATGGGCAAACTAGTTCTAAGAAGATTTATAGGAGGATGCTTAAGTCACACAGCAGTAACAGAGCTGTCAGGGTTACCACCACCTGCTAGTTCTATAGGAAGATGCTTTTCGAGCAGCACAGTAGCAAGAGCTGATAAAGTTCACAGTCCCCAAGGTGGATTGCCGTTCCGAGGGCAGCCTTCCACGAGAACTGGAGCAAGGTCCGACAACTCCTTTATCAGGAGGAGTGGCTCTCGCCCCAAGCCTGCCACACAGCGGGTATCTTTACGATACTGAACGCGGCCTCCTGGGCCATGGATTCTTGTCCTGGTATAACTGTCTTCCCTTAAACCATGCTCTGCACTGTGTCCGCTCTAGGCATTCTTCTGATTATAAGCTGCTTATTCCTTAATTCATGCTCTGTACTGTGTCCACTCTAGGCATTCCTCCCATTATGAACTAAGATATAATTATAGGTATATATGTAGGGAAATATTCTTTAGGTACTAATACTATCAACTATCATATGATTATATAGAGAGGATGATATAAGGGGAAATAACTGAGTAGTAACACTGTAAACCGGGATATTATTTGGGCCTTAATTGTGCCAGGATTCTGCTTAGCTCTCCTTTCTTGGTGCCTGTATGGGGAGTTATATGGGGAACTATACATTCATAGTTCATGAATGTATTCCAATTTGTGGGAACAGGGCGTAGCACATAGATCCTCAATTCTTGCAAATGAGTGCAGCTCCCACAGGAGCAGGAAAGGAAAGGAGGCACTCAGGGCTGGGCAGAGACAAGACCTAGCTGGGGAGCCCCGTGGCGGACACAGCTGACCTCCGGTGGACCACCGGGCAGCCCTTCAGAGACACTGCGGACTGGGCCAGTGTGGCCAGTGCCAGTTTGCCCGGGGCCAGCGGCATGCGCTGGGCACCCCCAGCAGGGGTGAGGCCTTGGTCAGAGCGAGTCTGCGGCTGAGAGGGGCCCCGGGGTTTCTGAGGGAGGCTGTGGGTCCAGCTCAGCAGTGGGTGACAGGGCTGGACACAGACCAGATCCCCCTCGGGCAGGGCTAGGGGCTGGGCCCTCACGCCGGGCCCACCCCCCTAACGCAGGGCCCGCCCCCCATGCCGGGCCCGCCCCCCTCACGCTGGGCCCGCCCCCTCACGCCGGGCCCGCCCCCCCACGCTGGGTCCGCCCCCTCACGCCAGGCCCACCCCCCTCACGCCGGGCCCGCCCCCTTCACGCTGGGCCCGCCCCCTCATGCTGTGTCCACCCCCTCACGCTGGGCCTGCACCCCAACGCTGTGTCCGCCCCTTCGCGCTGGGCCCGCCCCCTCACGCTGTGTCCGCCACTTCACGCTGGGCCCGCCCCCTCACGCTGTGTCCGCCCCCTCACGCTGGGCCCGCCCCCTCACGCTGGGTCCGCCTCCCTCACGCTGGGCCCGCCCCCTCACGCTGGGTCCGCCCCCTCACGCTGGGCCAGCCCTCTCACGCTGTATCCGCCCCCTCACGCTGTGTCCGCCCTCTCACGCTGTCCGCCCCCTCACGCTGGGCCCGCCCCCTCACGCTGGGCCCGCCCCCTCACGCTGGGTCCTCCTCCCTCACGCTGGGTCCGTCCCCTCACGCTGGGCCCGCCCCCTCACGCTGGATCCGTCCCCTCACGCTGGGCCCGCCGACCACGCTGGGCCCACCCCCTCACGCGGGGTCCGCCCCCTCACGCTGTGTCCGCCCTCTCACGCTGTCCGCCCCCTCACGCTGGGCCCGCCCCCTCACGCTGGGCCCGCCCCCTCACGCTGGGTCCTCCTCCCTCACGCTGGGTCCGTCCCCTCACGCTGGGCCCGCCCCCTCACGCTGGATCCGTCCCCTCACGCTGGGCCCGCCGACCACGCTGGGCCCACCCCCTCACGCGGGGTCCGCCCCCTCACGCTGGGTCCGCCCCCTCACGCTGGGCCCGCCCCCTCACGCTGTATCCGCCCCCTCACGCTGGGTCCGCCTTCCTCACGCTGGGTCCGCCCCCTCACGCTGGGTCCGCCTCCTCACGCTGTGTCCACCCCCTCACGCTGGGCCCGCCCTCTCAGGCTGTATCCGCCCCCTCACGCTGGGTCCGCCTCCCTCACGCTGGGCCCGCCCCCTCTCGCTGGGCCCGCCCCCTCACGCTGGGCCCAACCCCTCACGCTGGGCCCGCCCCCTCTGGGCACGCCCCCCTGACGCTGGGTCCGCCTCCCTCACGCTGGGCCCGCCCCCTCACGCTGGGTCTGCCCCCTCACGCTGGGTCCGCCTCCCTCACGCTGGGCCCGCCCCCTCACGCTGGGCCCGCCCCCTCACGCTGGGTCCGCCTCCCTCACGCTGGGTCCGCCCCCTCACGCTGGGCCCGTCCCCTCACGCTGTGTCCGCCCTCTCATGCTGTGTCCGCCCCCTCACGCTGGGCCCGCCCCCTCACGCTGGGTCCGCCTCCTCACGCTGTGTCCACCCCCTCACGCTGGGCCCGCCCTCTCAGGCTGTATCCGCCCCCTCACGCTGGGTCCGCCTCCCTCACACTGGGCCCGCCCCCTCTCGCTGGGCCCGCCCCCTCACGCTGGGCCCAACCCCTCACGCTGGGCCCGCCCCCTCTGGGCACGCCCCCCTGACGCTGGATCCGCCTCCCTCACGCTGGGCCCGCCCCCTCACGCTGGGTCTGCCCCCTGACGCTGGGTCCGCCTCCCTCACGCTGGGCCTGCCCCCTCACGCTGGGTCCGCCTCCCTCACGCTGGGTCCGCCCCCTCACGCTGGGCCCGTCCCCTCACGCTGTGTCCGCCCCCTCATGCTGTATCCGCCCCCTCACGCTGGGCCCGCCCCCTCATGCTGGGTCCGCCTCCCTCACGCTGGGCCCGTCCCCTCACGCTGTGTCCGCCCCCTCACGCTGGGCCCGCCCCCTCACGCTGGGCCCTCCCCCTCACGCTGTATCCGCCTCCTCACGCTGGGTCCGCGCCCTCACGCTGTGTCCACCCCCTCACGCTGTATCCTCCCCCTCACGCTGGGCCCGCCCCCTCACACTGGGCCCAACCCCTCACGCTAGGCCCGCCCCCTCTGGGCCTGCCCCCCTGACGCTGGGTCCGCCTCCCTCACGCTGGGCCCGGCCCCTCACGCTGTGTCCGCCCCCTCACGCTGTATCCGCCCCCTCATGCTGGGTCCGCCTCCCTCACGCTGGGTCCGCCTCCCTCACGCTGGGTCCGCCTCCCTCACGCTGGGTCCGCCCCCTCACGCTGTGTCCGCCCCCTCACGCTGGGCCCGCCCCCTCATGCTAGGTCCGCCTCCCTCACGCTGGGTCCGCCCCCTCACGCTGGGCCCGCCCCCTCACGCTAGGCCCGCCCCCTCACGCTAGGCCCAACCCCTCACGCTAGGCCCGCCCCCTCTGGGCACGCCCCCCTGACGCTGGGTCCGCCTCCCTCATGCTGGGCCCGCCCCCTCGCTGTGTCCGCCCCCTCATGCTGTATCCGCCCCCTCACGCTGGGTCCGCCTCCCTCACGCTGGGTCCGCCCCCTCACGCTGGGCCCGTCCCCTCACGCTGTGTCCGCCCCCTCATGCTGTATCCGCCCCCTCACGCTGGGTCCGCCTCCCTCACGCTGGGCCCGTCCCCTCACGCTGTGTCCGCCCCCTCACGCTGTATCCGCCCCCTCACGCTGGGCCCGCCCCCTCACGCTGGGCCCTCCCCCTCATGCTGTATCCGCCTCCTCACGCTGGGTCCGCCCCCTCACGCTGTGTCCGCCCCCTCACGCTGGGCCCGCCCCTTCACGCTGGGCCCGCCCCCTCACGCTGGGCCCAACCCCTCACGCTAGGCCCGCCCCCTCTGGGCCTGCCCCCCTGACGCTGGGTCCGCCTCCCTCACGCTGTATCTGCCCCCTCATGCTGGGTCCGCCTCCCTCACGCTGGGTCCGCCTCCCTCACGCTGGGCCCGGCCCCTCACGCTGGGTCCGCCCCCTCACGCTGGGTCCGCCTCCCTCACGCTGTGTCTGCCCCCTCACGCTGGGTCCGCCTCCCTCACGCTGGGTCCGCCTCCCTCATGCTGGGTCCGCCTCCCTCACGCTGGGTCCGCCTCCCTCACGCTGGGCCCGCCCCCTCATGCTAGGTCCGCCTCCCTCACGCTGTGTCCGCCCCCTCACGCTGGGTCCGCCTCCCTCACGCTGGGTCCGCCTCCCTCACGCTGGGTCCGCCCCCCTCACGCTGTATCCGCCCCCTCACGCTGGGTCCGCCCCCTCACGCTGGGTCCGCCTCCCTCACGCTGGGTCCGCCTTTCTCACGCTGGGTCCGCCCCCCTCACGCTGTATCCGACCCCTCACGCTGGGTCCGCCCCCTCACGCTGGGCCCGCCCCCTCACGCTGGGTCCGCCCCCTCACGCTGGGCCCGCCCCCTCACGCTGGGCCCGCCCCCTCACGCTGGGCCCGCCCCCTCACGCTGGGCCCGCCCCCTCACGCTGGGCCCACCCCCTCAGGGCGGAGCCCGCGCTGTCGCGCATCCGGGAGGACCGGCGTCGCATCGTGCTGCCCGCCATCGACAACATCAAGTACAGCACGTTCGAGGTGCAGCAGTACGCCAACGCCGCCCACGGCTACAACTGGGGCCTCTGGTGCATGTACATCATCCCGCCGCAGGACTGGCTGGATCGCGGCGACGAGTCGGCGCCCATCAGGTGAGCGGCCCCGTGGGCGCGGAGGGCCGCCCTGCCCGGGAAGGCGCGCGTGGGGCCGAGGGCGGGGAGGTCGTCGGCGAGCACGGCCTGCTGCGGGCCCCGCGGAGACGACTGTCGGGGCGGGCGCCGGCCCCGGGCTTTGCCGTCAGAGCGGCTCGCGGAGCCCGCAGAGGCAGCCCCAGGGCTCACTGCAGCCGGGAGTCATTCGTGGCTGGAAGGTTTTTCTGCGTTCGAAATGCGCTTGATAATCCCCAGTGAGTAGTGAAAGGCAGGCCTTGTGTTTGACGTTTTAAAAATCACTGAAATTCAGACAGCCCAGTGGGAGGCATCCCCCGCAATGTCTGGCCGGCTCCGGACGCCCTGAGCTGCAGCAGGAGCAGGCTCGCTGGCTCCAGGGGGTCTGCAGGGCCCGGCTGCCCCTGCTCCTCACAGCCACCACCTGGACAGCTGCTGAAGACGCCCGCGCCAATCCCAAGCTAAAAGACAGGCGGCGACTTGAACAGAGACTCCCCAGGAGAAGACGGGCCCACACCAGGAAGCCCAGGAAAGGGGCTGCCCACAGCCCGGGGAGATGCACATTAAACCCGCAGTGAGGTGGGGCGCCGCCCACTGGCGTGGCTGAAAGGCGAAGGCTGACAATACCAAGTGCCGACAAGGACCTGGTGCAGACGCAGCTCTCCGCCGTGGCTGGCAGGAGTGTGACTCCGTACAGCTGCTTTGGAAAACCAGCGTTTCCTTCTGAAGGCCCCGGACCCTCTCCAGCTCTCACCTCTTCCACTCCAAGGTGTTTTTCTCAAAATGAATGAGATGTGTGTACATGCAAAGTCTTCCACACAAACCTCACAGTGGCATTTCTCGCAGGAGTCCCTCCTGTGCGTCAGCAGGTGAATGGATGAGCAGGGCAGACTCCACTCGCGTCATGAAATACTCAGAAACAGGGAGGGGCAGGCCCTTCCACACCCAACAGTGTGGTTGAGACACAGAGGCTGGAGCTGAGCCCAAGAGCCACACATGGAAGAGCGTGCCCCTTCCACACTTAGACACGGAGGCTGGTGCTGAGCCCCAGAGCCACACAGAAAAGACCTACAAGGAAGAGGAGATTTTTCTGCAGAATATAGACTTCCCCCACGGGAGACAACGGTTCACGGCATTTTCAAAATACATCAAAGAAATATGTTTCGGGTAAAATGCTTTCGTTTCTTTCAGGGCCTGCTGTCATTTTGGATGCATTGTGTCTCTAAAAGAGTCTGTATGGTCAGGCTTAACGTCTTTGTTTTAATGTTAGCACTGGTCAGTTGTGCCTGAATTTCAAAGGAAGCAGGGATAAGGAGCTTGTCCAAACGCCCTTCCCATCAGAGCCTGCGCTGGTGGCTCGTCTTCAGAGGCCTCTTTGGAGGTGGCCTCGCTGCGCAGGTCCGTGAGGTGGCTGCTCTGCTGGCCTCCGCCCCGTTCTATCCCGCTTCCTGCTCCCCTTCTTTCTCCAGGGACAAACACTGGGGACCATCCTCATTGCGGAGTATTCCTGGGATCCCAATTTAGACCTGGCACCCCCATCACCTGAGCAAGGCAGGAGAATGGTGGGAAGAACGGCCACACCCCTCCCCAGAAAGCAGATACTGGGAACCCCTCCAAGACACAGCACCGGGCCTGTTTCACAGCTTCCTGCCCTGTAACCTGCGTCATGAACTTGACGTGCCTTTCTGCGTTTTTTGTCCTTAATGTACCCGTTTTAATTTTAACTTTTTGTTTCAGTCCCTCTGATTGAAGGTGGCAAATGTTGACTGAAACCAAAGTTAAAATTGTATTGATCAAAATTCATGAAACCAAATGTGTGTGAAAGAAATGTAAATAATTAAGCCCTCGGGTGACGTTTTCATGCACGTAGCTCGCACATCTGCACATACAGGGACCGCGTGTGGGTCATCACCTGTGACTTGCATGGTGAGTTTCCGTGTGCGTTTAGGGATGTGGGTCCCAACTCCACCCACACAGGCAGCGCCAGCCGCCACCTCCTCGCCATCCTGCCTAGGCATGAGCTGAGCCTTTTTTGGTGGTGTTTTTGTTTTTTGAGACAGAATCTTACTCTGTCATCCGGGCTGGAGTGCGGTGGCGCAATCTCGGCTCACTTCAATCTCTGCCTTCCAGCTTCAAGCGATTCTTCTGCCTCAGCCTATGAATAGCTCGGATTACAGGTGCCTGGCGTGGGCCCAGCCAGTTTTTGTAATTTTAGTAGAGATGGGGTTTCACCATGTTGGCCAGGCTGGTCACTCAGATGATCCACCCACCCCAGCTTCCTAAAGTGCTGGGATTGCAGGTGTGCACCCAGCCTGAGCTGGCCCTTTCTTTCTACAAAGGCTCACCTCTTCTGTGATTTGGCTCTGGTCTCTGAGCCCCAATCACTCCCAAAGCCACGCCTGCTGCTGCAGCCCCACCCACTCCCAGGCCCCGCCCAACCCCAAGACCACACCCACTCCTGTAGCCCCGCCCACTCCACGGCCCCACCCCTCCCCATTCTTCCCATGGCCCGACTCTCCCTCCTGCAGCCCGGTGACGCCCGCAGGTCTGCACACACGTGCCCAGGAGCCTGCAGGAGAGCGGAGCGGAGGACCCAGCCCGGCTCCGGTCACCGGGGACAGTTAAATAACCTGCAGTGCCTGCATAAGATGTAACAGCACAGGGGAGCTGCAGCAAGCGCGCCAGAGCGTCCTTCACAGCCTGAAAGGTGCAGATGCCCGATTCAAGCCGGGCTACTCAGAACGGGGACTTCGTGATTCAGGCCTGGCTCCGGCCGGGGCTCACATGTTGCTGCCCAAAGCCTGCTTCCCTCCCTGCCCATTCCCTGGCCTGGCGTAACTCTCAATGCAGTGCCTATTTCTGAGCCACCAGCTGGGCCAGGCCAACGCGCACCCCTGGGGTGAGGTCAGGGGAACCCATCAAACCACATCAGAAGGGGCCAGAGGGTGCTCAGCAAAACCCAGGGCCGAGCCCCGAAGAGGTGGAGCGCGGCGGGCGTCCTGCTCTCTCTCCCAGTCTGTGGGCTGGCGAGGAGGGGGATGCTGGTCCCGACCTGCGGCTTGTTTTGGGAGGCGCAGACGAGCGAGTCCTGGGCGCAGTACCTGGCTGCCATCAGCAGCCACCCCGATTGTCACTGTCAGAGGTGAAATGGTGACAACGGCTTTTCTTTTTTCTTTCTCTTTTTCTTTTTTCTTTTTTTTTTTTTTTTAAGACCCAGTCTCACTCTGTCTCCCAGGCTGGAGTGCAATAGCACCATCTCAGCTCACTGAAGGCTCTGCCTCCTGGGTTTAAGCAGTTCTTCTGCCTCCGCCTCACAAGTAACTGGAATTACAGGCATGCGCCACCTCACCGACTAATTTTAGTATTTTTAGTAGAAACAGGGTTGCCCCCGTTGGTTAGGCTGGTCTCAGACTCTTGACTTTGTGATCCGTCCACCTCAGCCTCCCAAACTGCTGGGATTACAGGCGCGAGCCACCGCGCCCGGCCACAGCTTTTCTTGTTATCCGGGCCTGTGGAGGATCAAAGCACTCAGTGGGCCCTTGGTGAAACTCACGTAATGTAAAATTAACCACACGAAAGTATGCACTTCCGTGGCATTTAGTGCATCGCGGCGTTGTGCAGCAGCCACCCCCACCTCGCCCCAAAGCATCGTCCCTCCCCAAGGGGACCCCGTACCCATGAGCAGTCACCCCGTCTCCCCGCCGCAGCCCCTGCATCCACGAATCCACGTCCTGCCTCCATGGACTTGCCTCTTCTGCTCCTTGCATGCGGACGGAGTCACACGGGGGGTGGCCTCTTGCCCCTGGCTCCCTGCCCTCAGCGCCACGTTTCCAGGGTTCCTCCACGTTGCAGCCTGCATCAGCCTCACTCCTTCCACCGCAGAATCACGGTCCATCGTCTGGATGGTCCACTGTGTGTCTACCCACCTGTCCCCGTGGCTGCTGGGCTGGCTCGCTTCTGGTGCCAACAAGAAGAATGAGAGGCGTCTGGCCGGGCTGAGGCCCCAGAAGCTGAGAACCGGACGGCCTGTGCAGGCGTCAGGCAGAGCAGCTCCGGCACACAGGACCTGGGGTCTCCACCCTGCACCCTGTGCCCTGCCCTCGTGTGGCAGAACTGCCCCAAGGGGAGGCTGTCTCCATGGTGACAGGCAGCCCCGCCCGAGCGTGATGAGAACCCTCAGCCCTGCCTTTCTCTGGAATCACAGCAGGGTTTCTCAGGCAGGTCAATCCGGTTCCAGCTGGTGCTGCCTCCCTTGCCTCATGCTTGTAAGTTTATTTTAGGATTCTAAGCCTTAGTGGAAAAGCCACTACCCACTACGATAGACGTGGCAGAGAATGTGGCTGTTCACTTCATCAGAGATCACCCCAAGATGACTGTTGTTTTTAAGAAAACAGGAGAAATACCTGTTGTATGTGGCACAGTATAACTTACCCAATCAAATGTTGCTATTAAAAATCAAAGAGGGCATGAAAATTTCATTATTGTTAGGTTTGTAGCCAAAATCTAATGACAGAACAAATTGGATCTTTGCACAAATCAAAGGATAATTGCCTTTTAATGCTCCTGTTATTCTTGGACAATTGATGGGCTTTTATTTCTGACTGCTGAGTCGCTGGGGACAGAATTGCTTCTTTTAAATTGTGACAGAGGCCGACTTTTGGCTGTTGTTTTTATTGAAGAACGTGTTGATACCTAGAGGAGGATTGGGAAGCTCAAGGCCCGCAGGGGGGCCTTGGCCTTGACCGTGGCCGCGGGGGCCTGTGCGGGCCTGCCTTGGCATCTGGGGACAGTGTGAGGCTTTGCTGGTTCCTCTGGCAGCACCTGCGGCCTCGGAAAAAATGAAGCTCTCCACGGACAAGGAAATTGTTTTGAGGCAAAATCTTTCATCAGATTAGAAGTCCCTCCTTCCCTAGGACACGTAGGCCCAGCCTGCTCCTTCCCTAAAGCACGTAGACTCCGCCCGCTCCTGCCCTGCAGCACGTGGGCCCCGCCTGCCCCGTGCTGGAAATGGCGTTTTCCTGCCTCCTTTCAACCCCCGCCACCTCGCAGACACCCAGCAGAAACCCGAGAGGGATGAGTGAATGAGCTCACGGCGTCACCCACAACGCCACCGCCAGCTTACCCCTCCCGCTCCACCAGAAGATCCTACCTTCACTGCTGCTGTCCACGCGGCCTCTTCCCAGGGCATTCACAGCACCGATGCATTCTCAGTACCTGTTAGACAAAATAAAAGTGGTGTATCGATGCATGATTTCACAGAGATGGGGCCAGGCTAAGTCGGCTGGCATTTTAGAGTTATCCTAAATGCTGACAGTCTGTTCCACGTCGCTGCACAGGCTGTGATTCGAGACGTCAGGCTGCATCATTCAGTGTGCAATCAACAGGTTCTGTGGAGTTGAGCAGTGTACAACCTACACAACTGCCCATTGCAGCCCTGGCTCCCGATTCACTGACAGGACAAAGCCTGGGGGAGGTGGGCAGGTGACTCACACGAGCTGGGAAACGACGTTCAAGGCAACCACAGGACTCCTTGGGTAAACTGATGTTTCTTCAGGGAAGGGGGAGACAGCCTGTTGCCCAGGCTGGAGTGTAGTGGTGCTGTATCAGCTCAATGCAGCCTCAACTTCCCAGGCTCTAGTGATCCTCTCCCCTCGGGCTCCCTAAGTGCTGGGATAATGGGCATGAGCCACCACGCCAGCCAGTTGATGTTTGTTTCAACCCCCAACACTAAGCTGAACTGAATTCGGGTTTTGTCACCTGTTGGTGCTGGGGGTGTGGACGCCATCTGTGCCCCGTGCTGGACCAGGCTCCGAGGGACCCCAGTCCTGGGTCTGGAGGAGCAGCGGCCTCACCTTGGGCACAGGGACCTGGGTGCGCAGGGAGGGGGCACAGGAGGGAGGGGGTTGGAGCTCTCCCAGGCCGTTCCAGCTCATGGCCTGGCTGGCGGGGCTCGGGCCTGCATGGCGAGGGCCTCATGCCGACATCTCTGCCTCCCAGGACCCCAGCCATGATCGGCTGCTCCTTTGTGGTGGACCGTGAATACTTCGGGGACATCGGGCTGCTGGACCCCGGCATGGAGGTGTACGGCGGTGAGAACGTGGAGCTGGGCATGAGGGTGAGTGTGGCCGCGGCGTCTGGGGACGGCGAGGGTGAGTGTGGCCGCGGCGTCCGGGGACGGCGAGGGTGAGTGTGGCCGCGGCGCCCGGGGACGGCGAGGGTGAGCGTGGCCGCGGCGCCCGGGGACGGCGAGGGTGAGCGTGGCCGCCGTGTCCGGGGACGGGTCTGGGGACAGTGAGGGTGAGCGTGGCCGTGGTGTCCAGGGACGGGTCTGGGGACAGTGAGGGTGAGCGTGGCCGCGGTGTCCAGGGACGGGTCTGGGGACAGTGAGGGTGAGCATGGCCGCGGTGTCCAGGGACGGCGAGGGTGAGCGTGGCCGCGGTGTCCAGGGACGGCGAGGGTGAGCGTGGCCGCGGTGTCCAGGGACGGCGAGGGTGAGCGTGGCCGCGGTGTCCGGGGATGGGTCTGGGGACAGTGAGGGTGAGCGTGGCCGCGGTGTCCAGGGACGGCGAGGGTGAGCGTGGCCGCGGTGTCCAGGGACGGCGAGGGTGAGCGTGACCGCGGTGTCCGGGGATGGGTCTGGGGACAGTGAGGGTGAGCGTGGCCGCGGTGCCCGGGGACGGGTCTGGGGACAGCGAGGGTGAGCGTGGCCGCGGTGTCCGGGGATGGGTCTGGGGACAGTGAGGGTGAGCGTGGCCGCGGTGTCCGGGGACGGCGAGGGTGAGTGTGGCCGCGGTGTCCGGGGACGGGTCTGGGGACAGCAAGGGTGAGCGTGGCTGTGTCTGGGGACGGCGAGGGTGAGCGTGGCCTCCGTGTCTGGGAATGGTGAAGGCGAGTGTGGCCATGGTATCCGGGGCTCCCGCTCAGGGCGCTGACGTCTCTCCAGAGCCTGGGCTGAGGCAGCTGGAAGCTGAGCTGGTCAGCCAAGGCCCTTAAGGTCCCTGAGCTGGAGTAGGGACAGGAGACGGGGCCGCAGTGAGTCTCTCCGGAAGCTGGGCGTCAGTGTCGCTGAGAAATCCTGTAGAACCACAGAGGACGGCGTTTCCCACGGTAACTGGTTTTCAAGCCCCTGGTTTTGTTGTAGGAATTGCCCAGGGTGGGGGCAGTGGATTGGGACCTTGTAAAAGTGGGTTCTTTGGCACAGGGGAGGGCAGCTGGGGGTGCCCTCTGTCTTGGCTGGGTGTGGAGGGCAGAGTGCGGAGGGAGGTGAGGGGGCCTGGGGTCCCCATGGGAGTCATGGTGGGATCCTGGGGTACAGCCTGTGCAGAACTGGGGGAAATTCTGGTGTATAGCTGGGAAGACCTGTGTAGAACTGGGGGGCACTGGGGTGCAGCTGGGGGTGCTGGGGCACAGCTGGGAAGGCCAGTGTAGAACTGGGGGGCCTAGGGGTACAGCTAGGAAGGCCCATGCAGAACTGGGTACACTGGGGGTATAGCTGGGAAGGCCTGTGTAAAACTGGGGGGCCTGGGGGTACAGCTAGGAAGGCCTGTCCAGAACTGGGGTGCACTGTGGGTGCAGCTTAGGGAGTCTGGGGCACAGCTGGGAAGGCCTGTGTGGAACTGGGGGACCCTAGGGGTACATACAGCTGGGAAGGCCCATGTAGAACTGGGGGCCTGGGGAAGGCAGCCTCAGCTCTGGGCCCCACACCTTCCAGGAGCACAGGAGGCCCAGGCCAGCCCAGCAGGCTCCCCCTGGCTGCGCGCCCGGCCACCCGACGAGACCCGTCCCAGAGGGAGAGCCATGAGGCTCAGCCCCTCCCTTCCACCCTCTTCCCCATTTCAAACCTCTGACGGTGGCTAAGAGAACTGATGGGAAAAGTTCTGGAAGAAGCTGGGTTATGAACGAGGGAATCCAGGGTGGTGGAGCTCATTCTCCTCCTAGAACCCTTATGCTCAGACTGGCGGTCACCCCGCAGGACAGGGGCTTCGCGGCACTGTGCCCGGGCCCTGCTGCTCCAGAGGCCAGAGGCTGGTGCAGCCGCAGGGGGCAGGCAAGAAATGGAGGCGTGGGGCAGGCGGGCCCTGGGGCCGTCTCAGGACCACCCGCTCCCGCTCCAGGTGAGATGGAAGGTGGAGCTGAGTGGGCCCAGCGTCTAAGGAGGCCCAGCTGGGAATGTCCCAGGGCAGGACTCCTGGCCCAGGAATCCAGCGGCAGCACCTGCTCTTGGCACCACGAGGGCAAGGGTGGCTCCTGCAGGGCACAGAGATGTGATGGCCCTGGGGTCGGGCCGCGTCTCCTGGGACCGTGTCGTGTGAGGGTCTGAGCTCGGGTCGGGCCATGTCTCCCGGGACTGTGTCGTGGGAGGGTCTGAGCTCGGGTCAGGCCGCGTCTCCCGGGACCGTGTGTCGTGTGAGGGTCTGAGCTCGGTTGTGTGAAGATCAGCTCGGGGGTGGTTCATTTTGTTTCTTTCATGTTTTGCCCATGGGCTTCTATTAACAGAAAAGACTATCAAAAGCTAGTTTTTGAAAATGTGTATGTAGTTTATTAAGTTGCGCCTTTCAAAACCTGTGCGCTGCAAGCTCGCGGTTCACCTTAAATATCATATTATTATGGTCACAAATCCAATTAATAAATTATTATTGTATTATTATGGTCACAAACCTTCCCCATGGCCCTGATTGGTTAACTGAAGTTGGCAGATCAAATAACACCGTGAAACAGCAATCATTGCTTTTGAGCTTTTAGTTAATGAAATTCCCTTGAGTCTTTTAAAAATGACACTTACAAATGTAATGTTTTCTTTTCTTTTAATCACTGTGAATACCTGACATCGCACCAGAAATCCCCCCATCAGGTGCTTTAAACATTCCAGTTTACCTAATACATTGAACTGAGACCAGATCTCAAATTCTGTGAAGCATTTCAGGACTATTTGCAAATGTATTTAATCCTCTCATCCTGTCCGATTTTAAATTGCACATCCAGAATCAATCCTCACTGACACATTTTTAAATGGAAGTTGGAAGTTGATCTGGCAGGTTCTTCAGTATTCTGACTTCCCTTAACTGCTGAGACTGTCAGGCGCCGGGCTGCGATGGCTCTGTGCTGACTGAACACGCCCACGGGTGTCGGCTTCTCCCACATCTCCTCGATGCTCACCCCCACCCCGAGGGGCAGGCCGGCAGTCGGGGCCCAAGGAAGCCAAGGCCCTCAGAGGGAGGAGCCTACCGCAGAGACGGAGACCCGGCCTGGGGAGGGTGCCGGGGACGGGCAGCGTGGCCACCACCGAGGCTGGAGAGTGAGGGAGGACGGGAGCCCTGGGGTGGAGACACCCAGCAGGTGTAGTCCAGGGAGGCGGCCACCGTCAGCGGAGACACGTCTTCTGGGCAGGACGGCCCAGGGAGAAACGCCCCAACCTCCCCCAAACAAAATTGGCTTCCGTGGGCTAAACCCAGCTGCAGCGAGAGGCCAGGAGGCTGGGTCATGGCACGTCCCAGGCTCAGAGCGAAGCCGAGGCCACAGCGAACCCGTGCGGTGGGCGAGGGTCAGTGGGCCGGGCCGGGGCGTGGGCACTGGAGCTCAGAGGACCCGGCTGCAGCCGACGGAGTGCTCTCCTGGGTCTCCGTGACACAGGGACCTTTTTTCTCTCTTCTTTTTTTGAGATAGAGTCTTGCCCTGTCGTCCAGGGTGGAGTGCAGTGGTGCAATCTCAGCTCACTGCAACTTCTGCCTCCCGAGTTCAAGCGATTCTCCTGCCTCAGCCTCCCGAGTAGCTGGGACTACAGGTGGGCACCACCACACCTGGCTAATTTTTGTACTTGCAGTAGAGACGGGGTTTCACCGCGTTGGTTGGTCAGGCTGGTCTTGAATTCCTGACCTCAGGTGATCTGCCTGCCTCAGCCTCCCAAAGTGGTGGGATTACAGGCATGTGCCACCGCACCCGGCCTACACAGGGGCCTTTGTGACAGCCTGATTCCTCCAAGGGGCAGGGGAGCCTGTGTCACCAGTGGTTCTGTCTTTCAATTTATCCCTGACACAGCACAGCCGCAGCCATGCCCGGTGTTTGCTGTTCCCTCGGCTGACTCCCCGACCTCTCTCCCATACTGGGGGTGTGGCAGTTTTCACCCTGCTGTCTTGTCTGGCGGTCAGAGATTGCTCTATGGTGGGAGACAGGCTGAGAGCCAGAACCCCATTCTCCCGGCCAGGGGCAGCAGCTCGCCTGTACCCCTCCCCACGCCCCCTCACCCAGCCCCAGCCCTGCCGGGCCCCCGGATGCCCCCAGCTCCTTCCCTGCTCCTGCCTGGTGAGCTCGGAGCTGGAGGCACTACAGACGTCGGAAGCTGCACTGTGGTCCCAGTGGCTGCCCCGAGGCCGCACCGCCCCATCCGTCCCTGTGACCCTGACCACACGTCCCCGAAGTTTCCCTTAACATCTTTCCTGCAGAGCCCACTGGGGTGAACTTTCTTTCTTGTAGGGCATGGTCGACACAGGACTCTTCCGAGAAATATTTAGGATGCAAAGCGGGCAAGGCATGGGGATTGGCGGGTGATGGATGGGTGATTGACAGGTGGGCTGGGACGGCAGCTGATTCCCAGTCCCCTGGTGGGCGGGGCCTTCACGGGGACAGAAGGCCGTGCATGCTGGTGCGTGGGGAGGCCTGCGATGGACGCGGAGTTCAGGGGGCCCCAGGACAGCCAGGTGGGGCTCGCAATTGGGGTTAAGGCATGAGAGGCGGAATGGGGACCATGCAGAAGCCGTTTGAGGGGAGACAGAGGCAGGAGAAATGAAAATAGAACCAGGGCCTCCAGGGAGCCAGGGGAGGAGACGCACGGTGTCTGGAGGGAAGGACGGTCACCAGAGCGGCCCTGTAAACCGACTCGTTTCCCCAAAGAGTGGACACCCTGGCCTTCAGGACCAGGTCTGCAATGCGGGCCCCCGCTAGAGGCCCTCTGGTCTGTGGAAGAAGCCAGCTTGGGGGAGTCACCTGCAGGTGCCTGGGGGCCGATGGAGCCACGGGAGGGGACCCATAGCCGAGCCCGAGGTGGACAGGGAGACAGGCACCCAACTCCCGGGGAGGTGGGGGCTCTGGCATGGGAAGAGGAGTGGGAATTCTCCCCTA